ACATTATTTAAATTGTATCACAACTGTAAAGAATATTAAGTTATTATTTTTTTCAATGGCATTTATGGACTTCCATTAGACTAACTAGATGGCCAATATCCTTTTATATCTTCATCACTGCTACAATGGGTACTCGGGTGGGCCGAGTTAAGAATCCCTGGTTGGCGGTCGTCCAAGGACCCTTGCGTTAAGGGGTAATTTACAGCTTTGCGTTAAAATTAAAGGTAACACGAGTGGACAAGTGAAAACAACAGACCAACTTCCATGAACTCGCTTACAAGCATAACCAGGGGCGTGCCGAGGAAAATCAGCGCGCAAGAAGAACCTCAAAGTGCCACCCGAGCGCGTACCACTAGAAACAATTTAAGCGTCGCATTTTGGTAGCACGGGCACGAGAGCCCCTACGCCCCACCCCACCCCCGCACGGCCCTGAACACAACCCTTAACACAAGTGTTGATTACTCTGGTGTGTGTGAGTGTGTGAGTGTGTGTGTTTGAAAAAAGGGGGGGGGGTGTCGCTTTGACTTCAGAAGAAAACGGCTTTGCAATGATCACAACGATACGAGTAGAATCTAAAAAGCAAACCAATGGGCCAGTTGTCTTTCTGGGATCAAGGTCATTTTCGTTTATGTACTATAAGAAGCTTACGGTGTCACACAGAACAGCCACCCCAACAACAGGGAAAAGCTTCATTGTTCACAAGTCAAGAAGTCTAAAGACATAGATCATACCATTTTACACAACCACACATGACAATCTTCTGCTACACACATGACAATCTTCTGCTACACACATGACAATCTTCTGCTACACACACGACCAGTGCCATGTGAAGCGAGTGCTGGACAAAAAAAAAGGGGGGGGGGTGGGGACTCACCCCAGGCGCCCACATCAGGGGGGGGGGGCTTCAAAAATTGTCTTTAAATAGGACATTTATAGAAACTTAAACGGTACTATGCTATGTACTTCACAAAGGAAAGGACCCACAAAATCGTATTTTGACTGGTCCTCCCCCCCCCCTTGTGGCACTTTTCATACATAGTGGTGGGCTCCCTATTCATTCTTCGCTCAGCTCGCAGCTTTTCCGTGCCATGTCCCTGCACACCACATTGAGCCACGCTTAATTTATAAAACCAAAATTCACCTTCTTAAGGGTTACGACAATTCGTTCGTCTAAGCGAGACGATGGGGTAGCTATGACCACTTCATCAAACGAATTACCATGCCGATCCTGGAATGGCGACCTCGGCTCCATTTCTCGCAGGAGAACTTTGACTCCTGGTTTGATTCGGCCTTCCATTTTTTTTTTTTTTTTTTTTTTTTTTTTTTTTTTTTTTTTTTTTAGGTTTTTGTTTTTTGTTTTTTTTGTCTTTTTTTGCTGTTGTTGTTTTTTCTGGTTTTGCAGCGGTTCATATTTTGGTGAGTTTTATACCCAAAATAATAGTCCGGCTGAGTGCACGCAAGGCTCACTTTAGCTGACAATTGAGCCAACTCAAGGCTTCTAGAGTATTCTAGACTAACACTGGAGACCAATGCTGAAGGAAGTTACTGACTCACCCATGCTGCAGCTCACAGCACTTGTCGTGGGTCCACATGGAGGGTAATCTGACGCTGTCGTCTGGACAAGGGTCCTCCTCGTACACTGGACATATCACTGCGTTGCAGTCTGTATGGAGGAAGCATTAGACAGGTCAATTTTATTAAGTGGAGAGAGAGAGAGA